GATTTGGTGAAAATTTGGGGCTTTTGTGTAAATTTACAAAGGTTGGGGTTTTAGCTAAAACGAACATGAGGTTTTGTCTTGGATCTGGTAAGCATAGGGTGAATATTGGAAGAAGTGGGAGCAGAAGGTGGAGGAAGATCAATAGTAAGAGAGGTAATAGGAATAACATGAGGAGAGGAAGAGAAAGGGTGAGGAGAAGATGAGGAAGCTGGAGACAAAGATAAAGGAGAAGGAGGTGGAGAAGAAAAATGAGGAAGAGAAGGGTGAGAAGAAGAGGAAATCTGAGATACAGAAGAAGTAGAAGAAGGCCAGAAAAATTGATGGAGACGGGGCAAAGAGAGAGAAGGAGAAGTAGCACCGGAATCAATCACCCAATTGCTCTCTTGGCCCACAAAATTGATACAATCATCTTCACAAACAACCATGAGATCAGCATTGGTAGTAACTGCCGTTGTGTCTTCTTGCTTCTTGTCCACACTTTTGTCACGCCTTTTCTCCTTATTCTTGAGCTTTCGACATTCTCGCTTCATGTGCCCTTTCTCATGGCAATAATAGCACCCAATGTCTTTCTTTGAAAAAGAACCATCTTTTGATTTATCACAGCTATGATCACGACCATGAGGAGTTTTACTCCTCCCTCTTGTTTTGCTTCGGCCTCTCACAACGAATGCTTCCGAATGAGAGGAACCCGCTGATTTTCTTCTAGTTTCTTCATTCAACAGGCTACTAGTGACTTGGCCCATTGTGACAACTCCATCGGGTGCCGAATTACTGACGGTCACAACCAAAGTCTCCCAACTTTCGGGCAAAGAACTAAGTAGCATCAAAGCCTGCAACTCATCATCAAAAACAATTTTCATAGAAGCAAGTTAGTTAACAATACTCTTTATTTCATTAAGATGTTCTGGAATGAGGCTGCCCTTTTTATATTTTAAATTAACCAACTTACGAAACAGAAAGGCTTTATTTGTGGCTGATTTTCTATCATAAAGACTCTAATTTTTTTCATAAATCATGTGCCGAAGTTTCAGTAGCAACATGATGAAACACACTGTCATCAATCCATTGACGGATAAAACCAACGGCTTTTCGATTAAGCCTATTCCATTCATCATCTTTCATACCCCCGGGTTTGCCACTATCACCCTCAATGGGTCCATACAAATCTTTACAAAATAATAGGTTCTCCATTTTAGTTTTCCAAGTTACCCAATTACTTCCATTGAAGCTAGACATACGACCCACATTCCCCTCCATTGATTTACACTAATAATTAAACCCAAATAAACCGTAAGCTCTGATATCAGTTGTTAGGAAAAATATGTGATTCCTCACAAGTAAACCAATCAATGGGAATAAAAACTAATGCGGAAAAATTAAATCAAAGGCAATACAAGAATTTTTACGTGGTTCCCTCAATGTGAGGTACGTCCACGGGATCGAAATCCGATTCCACTATCAACCAAATAAGTTCCAAACGATTACAAACGAGACACTAATGGTCTCACAAAACCACCCTTAGGTGAATTCCAAATAATCACAAATAAACAAAGAGGAAAGACCTCACCAAATAGATGAACCAAAATCTTCAGAACCAGAGTTGAAGAAGATCCAAAATAATTAACCCAAATCAACTTCACCAAAGCTGCCAAAACCATGCCACCACCGAATCAAAACCGCAGCTTCTCACCATGATCATCATGCTAGGTGCTCACATTTTGAAACAAAAACCAAGAATGACAGCCGTACAACACCTTTTGGTGAAAACCAATATATATATCTCAAATATTGAGCAATATATATATATAATTGGGTATTGAGTTTTGTAATCAAACCCTAATTGTATTCAAATTGAATTGGGTCTCCATAAATATAATATATAATAATATATTATAATTAATAGCAAACCAAATTAAACTTTTTTTCAAAAATCAATTGGGTTCCACACTCCAATAAGAAAGTATACTCAACAATTAGTGAATCATGTATTGTGTTATTATTAATATATTAATAATAGATAAAATGATTAGTGAATCATGTATTGTGTTATTATTAATATATTAATAATAGATAAAATGACTTATTCAACCAATACAATTATAACGACTTCAATCCTATTTGCTTGACTAATTATTAAGAGTCATGTGCTAAAGTGTACACATCAGGACTGAATTATTGCAAATTTTTAGCTTTTAATATAGCACACAGCACACAATTCTTAATACGCTTACAAAACAAATTTTAAAGTGTATTAGGAAAAAGTTAAGAATAACATTTTTCACAAATTTAGAATAAATTATGCTGATTTATATAATTGGGATAAATGTAGCATGGCCCACTAATTTGACAATTTTCGGCCCTGCTTCCACGGTGACGCAGAGTCGGAGTATGATACTTGAGAATATGTGCATTTATATACACACTTGCTAACTTTGTCGTAAACTAATATGTGATTCATGGAGCTTGAGATTCAAAGAGAAAAAAGAATAATAAAAATAAATAAATAATGTGATTCATGAAAAGGTTCATTTGATTAATCTTTAGGGGCCCATTTCTTGATGTTGTCATTTTGGCCGTCCATTGGAGGAGACGAGGAATGTTGCCTTTTTAAGGCCAAATTAATAACACGGGGCTTAAATTTATGTTATATTTGAATTATGCATTTAGATATAATTTTTTTTTTTAAAAATGATATAAATGTGAATAGTATCGCTACATTCACACAATTTGTTTCGCTCGAATGCACACAATTGAGATTTTGACCAAAAAGAAATCCTCGTAAAATTTTCTCTCGATCAGAGTCACAATTATGTATATTCAGACAAAACAAAATTGTGTGCATAAATCATTTCACTTATAAACTAATTTTTTTTATTCATTCCTCTCTCTATTTTTAAATTCTTATCCAAATTCATCATTTCAATACTGTTTTAAAATTTAAAAGTTGAGATTTTGAAGTATAAGTATAGTTTTGAACATCATGTGAGACACTTCACAAAAGAGCAATCCTAAAACCAAAACAACGGATTTATTCAAAAAAAAAAAAAAGGGAAGGAAGAAGGAAAAAAAAAAAAAAAAAAAAAGCCCAAAACAACAGAAGGCTCATATGCTAGGCATAACCTCATTTAATTGTGATATTTAGCTCATTTCACATTTGATCAAGTATTAATGTCATCTTTTAACCTTCCGGTGATAGAATCTTCAAATGAGAGGCTCATATGATCAAAAATTTTAAATAGCCTCTTTACTATTCACTTAGGGCTCATTTCAAAATTAATTTTTTAAAATAATTTTTTATTTTTTTATGGAAATACGTACAAATAATTCAACAACTTATAAAACATTTTAACTTTTTAACTAAAACCTCTTCAGTGCTATTTTAATGAAAACTTCCATATTGTGATCAACTCTAGAGCTCTAGCAAAACTACTTATTAACAACAGATGACAAGTAAGGGGATTACTGGGCATATTGCAATTTTGCCGGATGTTTGGAGCCATGAAGTTTTCTGTCAGTAGCTCTTCTGCTATAACCTTCTGCTTCCTACTCTACTGAGGATGGTTGATAACTTTTGGGAATAGAAATCGGTATTTTCTCTCGATTATATATGTGTTATAAAAGGTTCTTTAAGGGAGTTTTCATACGAAGAAGATTGGCGGAGGAAAGCAGCTTCATGTTACTGGGATGTAGGATGCACACACGCTGTCCCTGGCCTTCCCTGCCTGGAATAAATAAACTCAGAGAACAATGAAAAGTAAATTAATTGTATGTTAGGTCCATGAAAACATTATAAAGACTCAATTGAAGGGAAGATTTTGTTTTACTTGATGCTCCCAATCTACAGTATTGCTTGTAGACCACTCCCAATCATGATTCCCATCCAAAGGCCCTGCAAAAATGTTGGCTAAATGACACTAGGATGAATGTCTAATACATGCTTTGAGAAAGATGAACCTCATACCTTTACTCCAAAGTGGAAGACAAAAGTTAAGATGATTGCGGAAGGGAGGCCAATAAGGTAATAAGCTCCTAAATTCACAAATGCACCAAGCTTCTGCCATTCACATCCTATTGCGATACCTGTTTTCAACTCAAAAATTTTCATCATTTTGATATATTCTTTAAAAGACAAACTAAAGAAAACCCTTTAAAGAAAGTAGTTATATCTATCCGAAACATTGTGGTCTAATTGGGAGAAGGATAATGATAGAAGCTCTAACCAGACAGTACAGCTTGAATTCCATCCATGAAGTTAGAAACGGCAAGCAGTGGCATTATGGAAGCCATAAATTTCACAACTTGCTCTTCATTAGTATAAAAATAGCCCCATTTGTCTCGCACTGCTATTGAAATTAAGCTTACCAAAAAGCCCTCTGTTACAGCCAAGAATATCACAACCTTTACAGCAAGTCGTGCGGCATGAGGTTGCCCTGCTCCTAATTCATTTGACACTCGTGCTTTGAACCCGAGAGAGAGAGAGAGAGAGAGAGAGAATTAGAAGTTTTATCAAGATATGTCAAGGGAGAATAGTTAATGAGGGGTTTCACCCACCAAGTGTACCTTACTGTACTGCCAAAACCAATGGGGATTCTGAAGATCAATGCACTTGTATCAAGGCTGATAGAAAGAGAATTGAATTTAGAAATAGAGTAGCTATACAAATGCCATTGGAGTCATGTGCATGCCAAATTTGTAGCAGGATAGAAAAAAAGCTAATGTGCATATAATTTTCCCATTTTCTAAGTAATCAAAGGTAATAAGAAATATTAATAAAAATTAAAAAAACGCGCTTGTCAGAATGCCTTATATGAGTAGTATAAATGAGAATTCAATATTCTTGTGAAAGAAAGTTGTTATGAATAATAATTCAGTAATGAGAATCTTGTCTTGCATACCAAAGCCGAAGAAACTTTATCAGAAATTGATATGCAGTAGAACAAAAGGCCCAAATTGAGGTCTGTTTATCCAATTTAGACTCTTTCAATCCAACTACTGATGTATTTTACGTTAATATGCAAAAATGTAGATGCAAACCTGATTGCCATCACTGATGCTTCCAGCTTTGGGTTAGGCAGAAGGCCAGACATGAGAACGAGAAACTCATATGACCAGCCTTCCAAGCTGATTCATGTAACAGGTACAATCACATTATTATTTCATAAGAAGAAAGAGAAAACCAATACTGTATAACTAAATTCCAGGAATTGCACAATGCCTTAGGTTTCTTAATTTGTGAAGGAAGATGTACACTCACCAAACCATAAGCGCTGAAGGAATAGCCACGGAAAGAAAACTAACAAGATCTTTGGCACCCTCCTTAGAGAATCCTGTCCAAGTCTCTTGACATGCAGGGGAGAAGTTAATATAAATTGCCAAAATCAAGACATTGGCCCAGTAAGAGATGGCAATGGATAGAGCAGCGCCTTTATGGCCAAGGCCAATTATAAAAACCAATGTCCAACACACAAGGACATGGAATAAAGTTGTAAATACAGTGCTTATTATCAATGGCTTTACATTATTTTGAGTCTGTAAGAATCCGAGTTGGCACTGAAGGAGGCCATAAGGAAAAATGCTAGGGATCAGCCAGCGTGCAAATATCCCGGCTTGAGTAGAAATTTCCAAGTCTTGTCCACAAAGTGTGAAAACATACCCTGTGAAGGCCCAGATAAATGCTATAGGAATGCCCATTAGCAGGAGAACAAGCATAGCTCTCTGCATGTGTACACCAAGCATATGATGTTGTCTTGCTCCATAGGCTTGTCCACAGAATGTTTCTAGAGCGCTACCCATTCCAAGCTAATCAGGATGAAGTTTAGAGATATTAATATATGCTTATGGAAAGAAGAGGCCATGGGCTCAACCACATACAATTGTTCATGTACAGACAATAACTAAAATTTCACATATGTAGAATAGTGGTTATAGACACTAACAACAGAATCATTCTTAAATGTAGTTTGTGGTAAATGCTATAGGAATTAATGCCCACCGGATTAATTCTGGGTGTGGCTCACACCACCAGCGACGGAGGGAAGTAAGGACTAGGGAGGGCACATGCCCCTCCTCAATTTTTTATAATTACACTATTACCTATATATTTGTAAAGTATTTTTATTTAGTCCCTGAAAAATTATAATTGTGCCTACCCTAATTTATTTAAGATCCTTTAAAAATAAATACTTAAAAGCCCTTCTTAATTGGAAAAAGATTAAGACTCACAATTTAAGTCTCACAATTTACTTACAATGACTAGTTATGTATCACCTTTTGATTTGTTACAATTGAATAAGAATCTTGGATCCAAAAATGACACTTTTTCTCTTCTCTCTCTTTTCTCTTATTTTTCTTGTTGGGGAAATTACACATGTGGTCCTTGTAGATTGTCTATTTTGTCAATTTGATTATATACTTCCAACTACGTCAATTTTATTCTTTAATTTTTCACATTATGTCAATTTAATACAATTAGTAATGGCTATTAATAAATTATAAAAAAAAAATCTATTCACTCTCCTCAAAGTTATTTGGAGATTGACATACAATTTAAAATATATAAACCATGTGTGTAATTTGCACATCAATAATGCTACAACAATTACATTTTTATATCATATTTGAAATACCATGTAAGTTATCACTACAAAATTGTTTGAATGAGTATAATCATTTATGTCTGTTTACAATATAAGGTTGAAAAAATTATTGATTGGTATGAGACACCACATGGCCATATGCCTGAGCCAATCACAACGTGCCCTTATATTCCTCAATCAGCTAACACAAAATCATAAATCTCACCATTTCTACCAATCACAATATATGTTGAGCGCCACGTGGCACTGCCCTAAACCAACCAATAACTTATAATATTATTTTTTCACTTTCATATTTTTGCAAAATATATATATATTGTAAGAAATATTTGTGTTTTGTGTTCACTATTAATCAAAAAAATTGTATTATATTATTGTTATTGATTATTGAATTTTTTTATCTCAAATTTAAAATAAATAAAAGAAAAAAAAGAGGGTAAATGATCATGGTTTATGCACTAGAGCAGTGGTAGCTCAAGAAAGATTGTTGATTCAATTGAATAGAGAGAGAGAGAGAGATGAAAAATAAAATCAAATGAAAACTTGAGGGTTTAAGAGGCTAGATGCACAACAAATTGGGATAAAGCATGTAAGAATAAGCCTTACCAAGAAGCTGAAGCCAGTTACTTCAGCAAATGAAATAGCCATAGATGCACTGGATAAAGAGAGTTCTCCAAGATGGCCTATGAACATAACTGATATCATCTGTAAGCTATACTGCAAAAGACTAACCACAACTAGAGGTCCTCCTAACCAGACTTGTTTCTTTAGCTCTTCAATGGTCTTTGATGCATCCCAGTCCCATTCCTTGTTTTGTTTTCCAATCAATTCAATTCCCATTCCCATTCCAAATCTTGGAATCAGAGGAGATTCAGGAACAATATGTGTGGAGTCTTCTTCTTCACCCATGTCTCTCATGCCCGAAATGTCTACAAATTGAGACCGCCTCTATATATTTTTAAAATAAAAATAACAACAATTACAATAATGATTGGGATTTTTTATTTTTATTTATTTTTTTTTTGGAGACCCTACAATCTCTTTAGATTTTAAAAGGATTCCACACATATATTAATAATTAAGATCTAAAGCGATTGTAAAGTTTCAAAAAAAAGAAGTCTCAAATATTTTATAAAAAAAATATTACAGACAATACTATCAGCTAGTTTGAAAATATGCTATTTTAATTAATTTTTTAATTATTTTAATTTGATTAAAAATTTATATTTGAATAAATTATTTTTTAATTTTTTATAATAATGAGAAAAAAAATAAAATAATTATAATTTAAATATAATATTTTATTTTATTAATTATTTTAGTTCAAAACTTTCTTCCAAACAGGGCCTATAGTTATGATGTTGTGGTTATCCAACTTAGGTAGAATGGAAATCTTTGAAAATATACAAACGCATATAGTATTATATATATTAAGAAAAAGGAAATAGTGGATGCAAAATTATTACCGAGGTTGTCCAACTTAGGAAGAATGGAAATCTTCGAAAAAATTCACGTACATATAGGCCCTGTTTAGTAGAGCTGTGGGAAAGTACTTATAACTTATACCTAAACAGTTTATAGCTTATAACTTTCAGCTTAAGCTGATTTCCAACTTATTTTTAAAGCATCTCCTGCCCCACTCAAAGAATAAGCTGATTTCTGACTTCCACAAAGCTATAAGCTATAAGTTATAAGCTAAACCAAACACATCAAAATAGCTTAAATTAAGCTGAAAGCTGAAATAAACTGTAAATAATTTCTGCCAAACAGGCACATAGTATATAGTGAATGCGAAGGGAAAAGTTAGGGATTATGAAATTTTTTTTAAAAAAATGATCATGAAAGATTTATGATTCTTGGATTACCTTGATTAGTGTGTGATACAATATTCTAAATATAATCCAAGAATTACAAAGCTTTTCTAATTATTTTTATGAAAGGTTTTTTATGATACCTAGCATTATTGGGATGCAAAATGACTGTGATGTTTCTATATATCTAAGAGGGATTTATTACTTTTTACCGGCCAAGATGGCTTTTATTTTTCTTTTCACTTTTGCCCCTATTTTGTGTTTTGTGTTTTGTGTTTTTTTTTTTCTTTTTTCTATTTTGCTTGGACAATTTCATAATTTTTTATTTTTTTTTTGTAATTTTTGTCTCTTTTTATAACACTTACAAATCAATTTTTTAATAAAAAAAATTCACTAATTGTGTTTGATTGCAATTTTAGATTATAATTTATTGTGTTTTTTCAACTAATTTGAAAAATTAAAAAAATGATATATTTTTAAGTTGTAAAATATAATTTTTGAAACTTATTTAAGACTCATAATTTATATGGACAAAATAACTCTATTTCTTTTGTCTTAATTATATTTTTTGAGTGGATGTTAGATATTTGCATATAACAGGTTTAACCTTTTTTTAAATAGAATATAAAAAGTTATACCAAACAAATTTAGAACTTATTTTAATTCTTTGAAACTAACAATCTAAAGCGTTATAATCATAAAAACTCAATTACAGGTGATACCAAATTGAGTTATTATTTATTAATATTCTATTCATAATAAATATGAGCAGGAACCCATTAAATTACTAAAACTGTGACACATGAAATGATAATAAACTATTGTCCATAAATTTGTCATATTCATATTTATATTTTATTCAATGATGACAAATAATATCCAAATATTTTTTTTTTTGGAGCTAATTTTAATACTTATGGTAAAGTTTTAAATTTTTTACTTCTTATGATAAGGTTGTTATTGCTAAAAAAAATCCTATGTATTTGACAAATGATTAATGTTTTTTTTTTTTTTTTTTTTTTTTTTTTTTTTTTTTTGGGGGGGGGGGTTGTTAAAGTTTAAGTGAGTTTTGGATAGGATAATGCCAAATGTTGCTTAAGTAAATAAGAATTTTATGGGAGTGTTTAGAGATTTAAAATGTCAAATATTATTATTTAGGCAGTCACCTAAAAAATAATATATTTGTTGAAAATACTTTTATGCCACTTCAAATTTTTCCTTTCTATCCAATTAATAGTAAAAAATAAATTCCATTTTTCTAGGGCATCCTTATCAAACATAATGCAATAATCTCCCATTCTTATTCGAGAGTAATGATATACAAATAGAATTGGAAAAATTATAATAAAATAAACCAAGAGTTTGAATCTTGTAACAAAATAAATTCTAAATTTTTAATTTTGTCAATTTAAACTATAAACTTTTGATTTGCTTTCAATCTGAACCATTTGCCTATTTTTGTTAAGTAAAATATGAAAATATATATATATATATATATTTTAGCCATTAAATTCGACATAAATTATATTTTAGATATTTTTCATATACTTACATTGAGTTTAATGATTAAATATAATTTTTTTCGCCCGTTTTATTTAACAAAAATAGACAAACAATTTAGATTAAAAACAAATAAAAAATTTAGAATTTATTTTATTACATGATTCAAACCCTGGGATTTTTTTTTTATTTATAATTTTTCCAATACAATTTTTATAAAAATTATTTATGGAATAGTATAACTTCTTCTGGTTACTTCATTTTCAATCAAAATACAATCTATCACTGTCTTCATAATTTTAAAAATATCATTGACACTTCATTATTAATATTTTTTCTCCTTTTAGTTGTGAAATTTAAATTTATTAAAAAAATTATTATATTTATGAAACATAAATTTATTACAACATTTTTTTATAGTATTACTGATAAGTAGCTCTATATAGCTATGTATGGGTGTACAATTATATCTTGTCAGAGAAGATAGACAAATTTCCAACATATTAATATATCAAAAAGATATTATTATTAATCCAGATATTAACTCAACCTCATCTTAGATCATTATACACTTCTCTTTAATCTTAATTTATAACTCTCCAACATCAATTTTAACTTGTGTCACTTGCATACACTCTATCATGAGTCACCATACTCTCTTGAGAGTCACCTTGTCGCGATCTAACCCTTGCCACGTGTACCAAGAATTTTCTTTGCTCCATCAAGAGTTATTATAGATTTTTTTACTCCATTAAGAGTTTTTTGTGTAAGCCCAAGTCCATCAACATCAATGCTTCAGGAGAGTTTGCCCATAAATCCTCTGTCATCGGTTCTAATACCAGTTGTTAGGTAATTAGAGAGCCCACAAGTGCCCAACAATATTGGTCCAATCCATTACGGAAAAACTCTAGAGTCTACAAATATCACATCAAGGCCCAAAATACATTATTTAAAACTTATATCCACTTAAAAACTTAAGCCTATAAGTGAAGAGTTCATCTAATGTATATTAAGGCCCATCTTTTTATTCTTTATCTGATGTGAGACTCTACCTTCACACATGCTACAACACAAACAGGCTTGGACAAACCATACCCAATGTCAAGAGTGTGAGTTCGAATCCCCACCTATGTATGAGTTCGTGACTTATCGCTACATGGTTGAGCAGTTCTGCTATGTAGCAACTACCTAAACATGACCTCTAGGGTATTAGCTCCTTATAGGATCTAACCATGAAAGCTATCCCTATATGGTTAGGCCTTCAAAAAGATATTATTGCCGGTAGCATTACCAAAAACCACCAAAAAAAAAAAAAAAAAAAAAAAATCAATATCAGAAACAACAACATCATAACAATAATATCAAATTGGGTGTTTGATTGAGTTTTAAAATCAATTGTTTAAACTCAAAACTCAAAGCCGGTTTGATTTTGAGTTTTCATATAATACATTTAAAGCCTCATTTTGAATTCAAAATTTAAAATTCAAAACTTGTTTGGTTTCAAGTTTTCACAAAATTATTTAGTTTTCAAGTATTGACCAAATAATTTTTTATATTTTAAATGAATATGATCTAGATATACTTAACAACAATAAACAAAATGTGAAGAAATCAAAAATAAATTTAATATATATATAAAACATTAAAATTAACAATGGTAGCGCTCTCTCTCTTTCTCTCTCTCTCTCTCTAACAAGATACAACAGTCGAAACCAACTCATGTAGAAACACTTTTTAAATAGTTTCGGCGAACTTGACAATGGCAGCATTCTCTCTCTAACAAGAACCAAAAAAGCAGTTAGCACAAAGAATATAGAAAAAAAAATTCTTTGGTATAAAAATCATGTTCAACTTTATTATCTCAAAACACCATCTCATTTTTCATCACAAAAAATCTCTCTAAAATAACCTACTAAGTTGGAGGAAAAATGCCTCTGTTTATACTAGTATGAAAAGCCTTAGCCATGAGCGCTAATATCAATGGGGTCATCAAATTCTATTAACCAAGGCCATTAACTCTAGCCATTAGGGTCAGACTTACAAAGGTTGAAAACCTATACTTACTAATGTAGTCATCAACTCCATCATCAAAAGATGAGAGTTACAAAGGTTAAAAATCTCCTAGGCATAGGGTTATTCGAACTGCCCAATCCACCTAATCCGAACCGATCCGCATACAAATGGGGGTTTCACAGACACAATGTGGGCGGATACAGTTAGGAATATATGGCATTATTGCGAGTTGCGGGTTTTACCCGCCCTCGCAAGAACCCACCCGCACTTAGACTTTTTTTTTAAAATTTTTTAACCTAGAATATATCCATTTACTCATTGGTAAATTTTTCACATACTCAACACATTTGCTTACTACATTGAGATGCAATATATACACATTTGTTTATCTTTTCATTACTTTATTCTTTTATACTTTTTTTGTCAAAAGAATTATGAAGATCGAAGATTAAATTATATATATTTTCAGTTTGTTTTTGTGCAGGGTTCATCAAACATATGCATGGAATTGGAATTTTTGAAAGTTGGGTGTGATTTATGATGGAGTTTGCAAGTTTGCAAATGTTTTTATCTTATTTAATGGGT